TCTTCTTTTAAATTTACTTTGTTTTAATATTAATTTTTTTTAAAGTTATGCTTTTATTTATTATAGATGTGAAAATAAATTCAAGAGAATAGAAAATTAAAAAATACATACTTGTTTAGCAGAATAAAAAAGTAAAAATGAACAGTAATCCGATTCGAGAATAAGAATTATTACTGTTCATTTTTACTTTTTAATCCTAAGAATTTCTGATGCACTTTAAAATATCTTTGTAAATACAAATCATACAAGGATAATTTTTTTATAAATAAAAAAAAAAAAATGGCTTGGGTGATAATGAGTCTGTATATAAATTTATTTTGTCATGAATTACTGTAGTTTTTAGTTTTAGCAGGACACACGCACATACAGACAACTGCCCTTTATATATGTATAGATTAATATACAAAAAATAAAATGTATACACACAATACAAAGAAAGTTATAATGATTTTAAAACGGTAGGTGCTCATGTTTTTTACACTCTCAAAAAAATATAGTGGCAACGGGGAACAATTCTAGAAAGAATTTGGTAGGGTAAAGGTTAATTTTAATGCCTCCAAAATTAAACTGCTCTCTTTTAATCATCTGAGAGAACTTTTTTTTTTTTTTTTTTTTTTTTTTTGCCTTCCATCAGTATAACTGTTGCTAACCTGAAGGAGAATGGCACCTTCTTGAGCTAACATTCTCCACTGACATGAATTGGAAAGAGTATATTGAATTAATTGCTAGGTCTGCTGCTAAGAAAGTTGATTCAGTGTGTTGTGCTAGACAATTTTTCTTGACACAATCTATCTTGTACATTTACCATTTACCCATGCATTGAATATTGTTGTCAAATTTCGTCTGGTGCTTCTGCTCTATATTTAAAGATTCTAGATAAAATTCAAAGAATTTGCAATGTTATTGGTCCCAGCCTATTTGCCACCACTGTAACATAGTTTCTTGTACCTTTTCTACAAATATTTTCATGGTTATTGTTCTGCTAAGCTTTCCTCTTTGGTACCTTGACTTTAGAAATTTAAACACAGTACTAGACCAGCGGCTAGGTCTCATCATTCTATAGTTGAAATTGCTTGATATAACCGTTTCTTCTCTCTCACTTCTCACTTGTGGAATGCTCTTCCAGCTTCTTGCTTCCCAGTCAACTTTGATCTTCAAATCGTCATCTTCTGCCTACTTGATTCCTGTTCTTTTATTGTCCTCTCTCCTTAATAATGTTGTCTTTTTCTCATATTTTCTCTTTTATTGCTTTGCCTGGGATGAAATGATTTAAAAACAAAAAAAACATTCCATTGGCCAAATATCTGCATGGGATTGAACCCCCACTCATTGCTATATTCACTCTTATCACATCTGCTAGTGTTTGACAAAAAAATGTCAACCAATACAACTGCAAGTGGGAGAGAAAATGAATGCTACATATTTTCAGTTCCCTTTTTCTAATTTTTACTTTTTTTTTTTTTCCCAGTCCCCCCCACCCATAACATTTCTGACATTTAGGGAAATATTTTTGTTTACCCCCAAAAAATCTTGACAAGTCAGCATCTACCTCATCCTTTGCTGCAACCCAAGGTTAGATAATGACTACTGACAATACATTACACATGTATGCAATTTCTGCCATATGTCTGCTTTCATACATTCCACTGTCAACAATAACCCATTCAAATGGCATGGGAATTTTTAGTTATTTATTTATTTTAACCTTCTAACTGGATTTTGTCATAAGCAGGAAGTTTCTTGGTGAAATATTCATAACTGCCTCCCTATCTCTCTCTCTCACACACACACACACATATATATATATATACACACACACACACACGTGTGCATATAAACCTACCAAACTGTCTACAACATACTTGTGGAAAATATGACTATAATAACCTTGTCTGCATGTAAAAAAAAACAAAAAAACAAACAAACAATGCTAAAAATAATGGAAGCATTATTACTAAGAAAAAACCAACAGCCTATAATATCAACTGTAGACCTGGCCACAATGTGCTCACTGTGTTTGGAAAATAAAAAAATTACTTTAAATACGCATATATAAAAATCAACATATTTATTTAAAAATAAGAAAACATCCTTGATAATGGCTAATAGAAAAGCCAAAAGTGCTCAGATAGATAGAACATTTGTACAGTTTTTATACACTTTATGTCCAGAAAAATATTTCTATGAATGCAAGAAGAATTGAATAAAAAGCCTAATTGCAATACCTTGTCAGTGATCTTTAATGAAAGAGTGATTGTTAGCCAAATGCACAATTTCACACATATATATAATAGCTGGTTACTTTTATTCGAGAATACCCATCCACCAGGGCAGCTAGCCAATCCCTATTGCAGGCACATTTGTGTTTTGCTCAACAACCACAGAGCCCACCTGTGGTTTATACTGCAACTATGTTGATCAGACCTTAGTTACAGTTTCTTGGAGAGAGCCTGTTATCTAGTGTGATCAACAATTTGAACAAGGCCAGTACACTTAAGCC